AGATTTCGGCCACATGGGAAGCAAGCAGATTTGCACCTGGCTGCTCCGATGCTGGGACAATGGAGCCAGTGCTTTTGAAATGGAAGGGAGAGAGGCCAAGCAGCTGGGATCTTTGGCCAAGGATGCTGGCATTGATAGGGAAATAGGGAAACAGACTCAAACCCTCAGCCTTTGGAGGTGACTCCTGCTCAGTGTAAGGGAGAGGTACCCATACAAGGATGATACGTCAGCTAAGCATATGGACCAACATTGAGAAGGAAGGGCATTCAGAAACTCAGGGAGCTGGCTGTGTTTGAGATGATCTATGGTGATCTGAATGATGAGCAGTCACCCATGGACCTAGATCGGGCCCCTTGCACACGCTTGATGTGGCGAGAGTTCCTGAAGAGTGCACCAGAAGCACACTCGAAAGCATTAGCAATAGTGTCCTGGTGGACAGACACCCACACTCTAACAGTGGATGGAGTGGTTGGCAAGCTCCGGCAATATGAGGGAAATCTCCTTCATCTCAACATTCCTGGGTTTCAGCTGTAAAGGAGCTGTCTCAGAGGCTCCAGAAAGTAGAAGAGGACATGTCCTACATTCCACCTGAATGGGCTGATGTCTCAGCCATTAGAAGTAAATGTTTCCCCACCCAAGAGAAAGGCAGCAGAAGACACACACCACGGGGCACCCTGTGGTTTTTCCTCCGCGACCATGGAGGAAACATGAGAAGGTGGGATGGACAGCCCACTGCCGCCCTAGCTGCACAAGCAGAGCAGCTGAAAGGGAAGACCACCACGAAAGGGGAGTCCTCCAAGAAAAGTGCAGCTCCAGTGTCCAGTCAGAAATCCCCCAGACAGAATAGGATGGTGAACGTTATGTCTGACCCTCTTGAGGGGAGCAGTGAATCATTCTTTCAAGAAGTGAGTGATGATGAGCAGGATTAGAGGGGCCCTGCCTCCAGCCAGGTGGAGGAAAGGGATAATCGGATTTACTGGACAGTGTGGATCCGATCGCCTGGAACGTCAGACCCAAAAGAGTATAAAGACTTTGGTGGATACTGGTGCACAGTGCACCCAGATGCCATTGAGCTACAGTGGGGCTGAATCTATTTGCATCTCCGGAGTGACAGGGGGATCCCAACAGCTGACCCTACTGGAAGCTGAAGTGAGCCTGACTGGGAAGGACTGGCATAAGCACCCCACTGTGACTGGCCCAGATGCCCCGTGCATCCTGGGCATAGACTGTCTCAGGAGAGGGTACTTCAAAGACCCAAAAGGGTACCGGTGGGCTTTTGGTGTAGCTGCCCTGGAGGAGGTTGAACAGTTGTCCACCTTACCCGGCCTCTCAGAGGATCCCTCAGTGGTGGGGTGGCTTAAGGTTGAGGAGCAGCGAGTGCCGATTGCTACCAGGACGGTGCACCAGTGGCAGTACCGCACTAACCGAGATTCCCTGGTCCCCATCCATCAGCTGATCCGTCAACTAGAAAGCCAGAAGGTGATCAGCAAAACTCACTCCCCCTTCAACAGCCCTATATGGCCAGTGAGAAAGCCTAATGGTGAATGGAGGCTAACTGTGGACTACCGTGGCCTGAATGAAGTCACGCCAGCAATGAGTGCTGCAGTGCCAGACATGCTAGAGCTCCAGTATGAACTGGAGTCAAAGGCAGCCAAGTGGTACGCCACGATTGACATTGCTAACGCGTTCTTCTCCATTCCGATAGCACCAGAGTGCACGCCACAGTTTGCGTTCACTTGGAGAGGTATCCAGTACACCTGGAATCAGTTGCCCCAGGGGTGGAACCACAACTCCACCATTTGCCATGGGCTGGTCCATACTGCACTGTAGAGAGGTGGGGCTCCAGAACACCTGCAGTACATTGATGACATCATTTTATGGGGAGACACAGCCAAGGAGGTCTTTGAAAAAGGAAAGAAGATAATTGAAATCCTCCTGAAGGCCGGCTTTGCCATTAAGCAAAATAAAGTTAAGGGGACTGCAAAGGAAATTCCATTCCTCCGAATAAAAAGGCAAGATGAGGGTTGCCACATCCCAATGGAGATGATAAACAAGGTAACAGCCATGGCCCTACCGACCTCTAAAAAGGAGACTCAGTCTTTCCTGGGCGCTGTGGGGTTCTGGAGGATGCACATCCCGAACTACAGCCTGATTGTGAGCCCTCTCTACCACATAACCCATAAGAAGAACGATTTTGAATGGGGCCCTGACCAACAACAATCCTTTTAACAAATTAAATGGGAGATTGCCCAGGCAGTAGCCCTCGGGCCAGTCTGGGAAGGGCAGGAGGTTAAAAACATGCTCTACACCGCAGCTGGGGAGAATGGCCCTACATGGAGCCTCTGGCAGAGAGCACCTGGGGAGACCCGAGGCCGACCTCTGGGCTTTTGGAGCCAGGGATACAAAGGCTCTGAAGCTAATTACGCATCAACTGAGAAGGAGATACTGGCAACGTACGAAGGAGTTCGGGCTGCCTCCAAAGTGGTCGGCACTGAAACACAGCTCCTCCTGGCACCCCAACTGCCGGTGCTGGGGTGGATGTTCAAAGGAAAGGCCTCCTCCACACATCATGCAACAGATGCCATGTGGAGTAAATAGGTTGTGTTGATAACACAATGGGCTCGAATAGGGAACCCCAGCCGCCCAGGGATATGAGAGGTGATTACGAACTGGCCAGAGAGCAAAGACTCTGGGATGTCATGACCTCACCAGAGAAGGAGGTGACACATGCTACGGAGGCCCCACCATATAACGAGCTGCCGGATGAGGAGAAGCAACATGCCCTGTTCACTGATGGGTCTTGTGACATTGTGGGAAAACATCGACGGTGGAAGGCTGCTGTATGGAGTCCCACACAACAGGTCACTGAAGCTGCTGTGGGTCAGGGTGAATCGAGCCAGCTCGCAGAGGTGAAAGCCATGCTTTGGATATTGCTGAGCAGGAAAGTGGCCGAGGCTCTACCTCTACACTGACTCGTGGGCAGTGGCGAATACCCTGTGGAAATGGTTGCAGCAGTGGAAGCAGAACAACTGGCAGCGTAAGGGTAAAACTGTCTGGGCTGCTTAAGTATGGCAGGATACTGCAGCCCAGGTGGAAAACCTCGTTGTGAAAGTGCGCCATGTGGATGTCCATGTACCCAAGAGTCGGGCCACTGATGAACATCAACACAACCAGCAGGCAGACCAAGTTGCTAAGATCAGAGTGGCTCAGGTGGACTTGGACTGGCAGCACAAAGGTGAACTGTTGTTCATAGCCCGGTGGGCCCATGAGACCTTGGGCCACCAAGGTAGAGATGCAACATACAGGTGGGCTCGAGATCAAGGGGTGGACCTCACCATTGACACCATTGCAGAGATCATCCACGGATGTGAGACGTGTGCTGCAATCAAACATGCCAAGCAGGTGAAGCCTCAGCAGAATGCAAAGCGATGGTTGAAATATAGATATGGAGAGGCCTGGCAGATCAACTACGTTACACTGCCACAGACCCACCAAAGGAAGCGCCACGTGCTCACAAGGGTGGAAGTAACCACTGGATGGCTGGAAACTTACCCAGTGCCCCACACCACCACCTGAAACACCATCCTGGGCCTTGAAACCCAAGTCCTGTGGTGACACGGCACCCCAGAGAGAATTGAGTCAGACAATAGGACCCACTTCCAAAAAAAACTCATAGATGCCTGGGCAGAAGAACACAGCATTGAGTGGGTCTACCATATCCCCTACCATGCACCAGCCTCTTGGAAGATTTGAGCGCTACAATGGACTGTTAAAAACCACATTGAAAGCAATGGGAGGTGGAACCTTCAAAAATTGGGACGTGAATCTGGCAAAGGCTACCTGATTAGTCAACACAAAAGGATCTGCTAGTCGAGCTGGCCCGGCTCAGTCAAAACCTCCACATGCTGTAGATGGGAATAAAGTCCCTGTGGTGCGCATAAGGAATATATTGGGAAAAATGGTCTGGTTTAGTCCTGCGCCAGGCAAAGGTAAAGGCAAACCCATCCACAGGATTGCTTTTGCTCAAGGACCGGGGTGCACCTGGTGGGTGATGCAGGGCAATGGAGAGGTCCAACACGTATCACAGGGGGACATTTCTGGGTGAGAATATACCATGAATTATGCTGTTCCTTTGTTAATGGTTGTTCTGTTATTAACTGCTAAATGGCGGCTGGACATGACACAGATGGTACAGAATAAAGGGGTGGATTATGTCCTGGTTCAGCTAGGACAGGGTTGTTTCCCCAGCAGTGGGGAGAGGGCGCTAGCCGGGTTATTCAATACCATGCTGACATCAGGTCTATGCACCAAGCATGGGAAGAGTGTCCTGTGGGCTTTTGTCTGGGGAAGCACACGCAGCGGATTTGCTGTGTCCCTTGTGGTATTTCTCTGTATATCTGCTGTCTTGTTTACTGTTTATTGTTATTATTGCTATTGTTGTTGTTCAGATTATTTGTTGCACTGTTGTATTAAATTTTTCCTTACTTCAACCCCAGGGTTTGTGCCTCACTTCCCGCCCTGCCCGGTCCAAGGGTGGAAGAGGGACAACGGCAACGTGGTCTCTGGTCCCGGCAGGGCCTAAGCCACCACAAAAAGAAAAATACATTCAAATCCTCAGTGCCACAATAAGACTTCCTAGAAGGACTGACAGATTTGCTAATGCTTCTGGACATACTGAAGCGTGCAGAATAACATTTTTATGATATCTCAACTGTTACGGTGGAGAACCCAAAGACCAGTGATGACATTAACCTTTGGAAGACATGCTGTGCTTGGGTCTTGGGAAGGAAATTGGCTTTTTCTTATTTTCATAGAGAGTTAAAACTCTTGTTGCTGTTGACTTCTACTGCCATCATCTCTGAAGATCCTCTCTGATGGGAAGTTCATAAGATGCAACTTCTTTGAATGTGATTTCCATTCTGGAAAATCTTTTTCCAACTGAAGTCAAAATTACACACTGTAGGTTAAGCAAAAAGGACACGATTGAAGCCGTAACTCACCATAACCACATCAGGACTCACCACTGTTAGCTACAAGGCTGCTAATCCTTCCATGTAAAAGCCTGGAAAACATACAGAATCATCACCAATTTGTCCATGTCTCTTCTTTGATCTTGATTTCTTTTAGTACACATGCTAGTAGTTCAGTGAGGTTTTTAAGCACTACTCTAAGATACTTTAAAAACTTACTGACTGAAAAAGCATTCATGTTTTATCATGAAAACAAAGTGTTTCTTCTGAATATCCAAACTCTTACAAACAGTTTCTTTCCTCTTTTATTACAAAATTATTTTCACAGTATCATTTAACAGTAAGCACACAAAACAGAATATTATGCTTTCAGGAAGAAAAAATAGAGGGAAGTATACTTTGCATAGGTGTAACATGCTCCAGAACAGACCTTATTTCATTTTTACTATTTGTGTTAAAATATTTTATATAAAAACTACAGAGAGTTGGCACATTCTTAAAGACCCTCCTACAACTTCCTTAGGAAAAATAGACACACACATCACAGATGTACCTTGTACTTGCAGAACACTATAGATTCTTTCCATCAGTCTTGCACTTTCACAGCAGAACAAAGGGCAACCATATTGAAATTGGGGCAGTTGACAATCTGCTGAGAGAAGGAAAAACACCCATTAACATAAAGCTAGGTAGGAATCTAAAGCTTCCCTTTTTTGTGAAGGTTTGTGAAGGCTACAACCAAGTGGAGGAAAAAGTATTTTGCATCATCTTTAGTACAGCTGTTGATGCAGGCCACTAGAGCTTTTGAGTTTACACCATCATGCCTTTTTTTGACTTATTGGCAGCTTTAATTTCAGTACAACCACTTTCATAGACACACGCTGGTAAGGGACACAGATACCTACACATATTTTCTCAAGCCTGTGTATAGCCAAGATTTCCTTACCCTCTATGTCCCAAGTTGAATATTTTTCTTAAAGAGTACAAACAACCCATCTGTCCTTGTTAAGTACCTCTTTGCAAAAATGATTTTTTTCAGGCTGTTTCTCCAAACCATCAAGATCTTGTAAAAACTGCAGTTGTTGCCACCGAGTCTGCTTAGGGTCCCTCATAGCTTTAGCTTATCATTAGATTTAACAGGCATACGCTCTAGTCCATCTTCCAACAGCAAATATACCCAACACTCTCAGACCAGAGCACCATGCCAGATGTCTGCACACACCTTACTGTTTTGATGAGGAGCCACAGAACATCGCTGCAAGCACAGCTGCACATGCCAGATCAGTTTCACCTACATTGATTTCAGTGAATGTAGTTTCTGAAGCTTTGAAGTGAAAACTGTCTCTTGACACTTTGCCACAGAAGTGATCCATAACTAGGACTCTACAAGAGCCTAGTAACAAACTACAAACCCACAGCAGGACCAGCTTCAGAACTATTTAGACCAGAAACAAATGATTAAAAAAAAAAAAAATCAGCTTCATCACATGCACAGGAAAGCAGTAGACATAGAAAAGGGTCAGCATCCCTAGCCCTAACAGAAAACAGGCATTCTCCTTCCATTCCTAAACTAACCTGTTAGGGCTAAATATCACCACACTACTGTAGGAATATTGAGAGTCGGGAACTACAGCCCTGCCACTGGATGTGATATTAACTGATGCCATTTACATAGCATGACACACAAACAGAGGGACATGTTTTGTCACACACAACCCTGGATTTCTGAAAATTTCTGTTTACCAAAACCAGCCATTTGGAACATAGTGCCAAACAACATCTGGCAATAAAACTTCGATGTGTTTGACACACACAACTTCTTGCTTCATGTTACCATTGTTCTTCCTTCAGTAATTCTACTTGTAGACAAGTTATTCTCTACTGGTTCAAGCATTTACCTTCTTGGTATTACCAGCACATTTACACAGGCAAATAACTAAACTGTTCTTCTAAAATTGTCCAGATGACAATTACATCCATGAAAGAGTAAAAGAAAAGGAGTGGGCAGGCAGCAAGAGCTCTGTAGGCCTGCACTATTCAACACTACGCTTTTTTCAGTGGTTTTGGGTTGGTTTTTTTTTAAGAAAACACCCACCCACACCCACCATACCACCACCACCCCTCAAAAAGTAAAAAAAAAAAACAAAACACCACACCAAAAAAACCCATGACCTTGTATCTTTTTTTTTTTTCCTTCTGGAGTTCACCCCCATCTCAGCAAACAGTCTTGTCATAGCATCAAGTGCAGCTGATCCATATCCCAATGGCATTTGCATGTGAAGAATCCATGTTCAGAAATAGTCCAGATCTGTAAGACTGGTGTAATTTTTGTGTTTTAATAATCAGAATTCAATTTTATTGACTGACACATCTGTGAGGAAACTAATTAACTCTGAAATGTAGTATATCTTGGGGGGACAAAAGGTGTTAGAGACTGAAAAAAAAATAATTATTCAGAGCTCCCAACCATGATGGAGCAGTGGGGAAATTAATGAAAGAGAAGAAAAAACAACAGTGACATTAAGTGAAATTTGGTTGACCATGTACTTAAAGACTCTCCAAGTCTACACCTCAATCCTAGGAATGACTAGTCTTTTTTTGGAAGGACAAACTTTAATTAAAAGTCCTAGATTGAAGGCTCCACCGAACAGAATGTGGATTGAGCCACAGAACACTCTTACAAAATCCAAATATAAATCAACTTTGAACATCACTTTCCATCATGTTTCATTCATTACATTTCCACTGGTGTCCAGGTGCGCAAAAATTAACTCTACTGTCACCACATGCTACTAAAAATTTAGTTATGCTTATGAAAATAAAAGGCTAATTCCAACTTGCTCATAAAATTAGTATGAATAAATAGAAGAAAAACACTTGACTTTAAAGAAGGTAACAGGCAGCCCTTAATTTATCACAGATGAAAGTTTATTCTTTTACCTGAAAGAAAAATGTTCATAACTACCAAGGGACCAATTTAGGATAACAGCAATTTTTCATCAGCTTTTCTGCACTGGCAGCAAATTTGCCTATTCTGTGGGTTAGATGTGGAGCATCTCTAGTGCCCTTGAACTTGGAAATGTTTCTCCCTGCTCCCCAAGCCCCATAACTATGATTACCTGAGCAGCAAGTGGAATAATCCATGCAGGATTTCACATGAAACAGAAAATGACACTGAGAAAAGGCAAAAACAATAGCCTGTTTGTCATACCCAGCCAATAGTGAAAAGCCAGGGGATGATTCTGCCAGAAGGGCCGTGCGAAGCCAGGCCAGGCCGGGCACTGCAGGAGCTCTGATCGGCCGGTTTCTCACCCCTTTGCCAGGTACTTAGGAGATGATGACACCTCACCCACACCCCCTTGCAGCAGGGCTGCCCCAGGAGACCCCCACCTCTCATGCCCAGAATGGGACAGGGAAGAACCCTCCATGAGACACATGGCATGAATTTAATCCCCAAGGCAAAAGACGACTTTCCTCCCTGCTGCTGGGAGCTCCTGGCTGGTGCCAGTCCTGCCGGCACCTGGCCATTCTTCAGCCACTCCAGGGGTACACACCCACCAATCGATGCTCCAGCAGACACCCCAGCTAAATTCAGCTCCTGCTCATTACAGCTGCAGGTAATTTGGGTCTGGCTAATGCATGCTCCAGACAAGGAATATCCCCCCTCTCATTCCAGCTCCTGCTTACTACAGCTCTAGCTAATTGAAATCCCAGCTCTGCACTGAATCTCCCATGTTTTTCAGCTCTTTCTTCCAAGCTCCAGCTATTTGCAAGAGTGGGCTTTTGCAAAGTCGTAAATCAACTACTGTCATAACAAGTATGACTATTAAACGTCATAGCTGCACACTGTATTAATTAGCTTGTTATGATTAATTACTTAATAACTGCTAAGCAGCGTACAAAGAAGAGCTGTACTGAAAACAAGGGTCTGAAAAGCACCCTTCCGCCCAGAAAGCACCTCAGATGTGGAGTTGAGCTTGGTGCATGCCAGCCTCCCAAAATTTGGGGTCTTACACAACCAGATCCCTCACCTCCAGGGAGGCTCTACACACCCTGGTTACCCCATGCTTTCCCTTGCAGCCTGCAACACCCTCCTACCCCCCTGTACAAACAGCCAAACTGGCTTCTGCTTTTGGCCCCCAAGCCAGCTCCCTTAGTGCCCATTTCCAAGCCCAAGAACCCAGCTGCTGAGCCTATTCTCAAGTCCCAAAAATGCAGCACTTGAAATCTGTTCCCAAGACCAAAACCACATGACTTAGGCCCATCTGTCAGGTCCTGAAAACACACCAATCCAGGTGTTTGAGCCACACAATCAGCCCCATGAGCCTGTTCTCAAGCAGCTGGTTTTGAGCCCATGTGTTTTCAGTGGGAGCCAGGCATTCACTTCATGCTAGGCTAACTCCTGCCCTACCTGCTCCCAGAGAGAAACTGGCTCAGGACGCCACAGGCTGGTCCTTAACAGACAGAAAGGCCTCACCAACTTGCCACCAAGGCATAAACCTGGGGAGACACACAATGCTCTGCCACTGTCCCAGCAGTGGAGAAACTCTGCCAGCTCCTGAGCATCCACCCACATCCCTGGAGCTGAGAGATCACCCATAACCCCACGGGACAAGCTACCTCAGCTGCTTGACTGCAGAGAGTGACTTCCATGCCAGGGAGCACATATGCCTCTTTCCTCGTGCCTGTAACTCCAACAGGCAAAACAGCCCCTTTCAGGCCACCTGCTTCAGCCCCAGTGCTCTTCTAGCAGACCCCTCCTCTGCCTCCCCACCCAGTCCCCTTTGAAACACACACAGGGCTTGAGGAACCATAACTCTTTCTGAGAGCAAAGATTAACAGCTTTTCAGTAGGACAGGAGAGGGTAATACCCTCTAACACACCTTGAATGAGAGAAACCAGGCTAAAGGTTTTCCAAGGGCAGCCTAAGAAACTCGGCACACAAAGCAGTAAGATGTACTGTCCAAAAAGAAAATTTATTCTATAAGCCGTCAAGAAATACACTACACCACTGACCCCCAGGCACACACTATGTAACAATGAAAATAAAGTACACTTGTTTCCAAGGAGCTGCAACAGGTGGATCACCTTTCTTTACTGTCTTCTTTCTTGTTCAAGCTGTTCAG